AATTGCATTCTTCAATATTTTCTACGTCAAGACTCTTTGACATTCATTTGATATGTCTTCGGAGCCTCGCAGTACTTTGATCGTTCTTCTAGTCATTTTCCTCAACCATGCAACCTGATTGGTCTATTAGACTAAATCGCAGTCTTTTAGATTAATGCATGATCTCGTTCTAGAAGGAGTATTTGATAATATCTGAGTTCTAGAAAATCATTTCGAGTCAATCCTCGGTTCATGGTCACTTGAGTAAGTTCTTCCAAACTCCTGCCAGTGTAAGGTCCAATAAGAATACCCTTGGTATGTCATACGTGAATGGTCATCCTTCGGATGTAGTCCGAGTCTGGTATAATCCTGCTTGACAAACAGGTAGACTGTCATCCGAAGGTAGTATCGGGGATGGGTAAACTAACCAACTTGTGGTAGTATGGGTATATGGTCCCTTCAACTTATTAGACTGATTCAGTATTGACTTTGACTGTCAATCTGGGTCTCAATTACAGTCCTCTCGATACAAATCTATATGTGAAAATGTCACAATTCACAGCATAGACGTCTAGCCAAAATTTAGGCGTGTCAGCGATTAACTCCTTTTCAGACAAAGGATAAATTCGACCAAGAGGCGGCGAAGCGCCTTCTTCCAAGCCAATCTTCAGGTCATAATGCCTGTGTTCAGGTAGTGAATCTGCAGCAATCTTGTCAATGACGTCTGCAAACTCAGCATACTTTTCTGGAATAGAGTGATGTAGTGGAGGGACAGTAGGAGTGGTGGAGGAGCGGTCAGCGGCGCGGGCTGCGACCTCTGAGTGAATAGCACAAAGAAGAATGGGATCTATACCAGCATCCTTGCAAGCCCTATTAAACACTGCAGCACTGACAAGTACAATGTCGACCTCAGGAGTTTCCAGTTGAGCAGCGAATTGAGAGACCGTAGGGTAAGAATAGATGGGTTCAAAGGGGAATTTAAATGAGAGGGGCTTGGCCCGTAACGTCCGAGAGCGAGAGTGAAGTGAATCCCCAGGAGGGGTTTCCAGAATTGTTGGTGAAACCGATGGCGAAGGTTCTGGTAGTGGAACAGCAACCTTTGCATCAACAGTGTTGGTGGCAGAAGGCACAGACATCTGTGGCGAATCAAAGTGTGAAGTGTTACGGAATGTAATGTTTCAAGATGCCCAGTCAATCAATGGATTGTAGCGGGATAAGAAACTGTAACCTAATACTGCTTTACAAGATGAATCTAAATGAGTAACATAAAAGGGTAATAGAAGCAGCTTGCCAGAAGGGAACCGAACAGCAATATTCGCCATATCAGTAATTGGTTTAGAAGATAATGAACCATCAAAGAGACGAAGATTAACAGGAGGGATTTTGGTCATAGGAATAAAATTTTGAAAAAAATATGGGTATCAATAAAAGAGTCAGTAGAACCAGAATCAACAAGAGTAGGAAATTTGAGAAGAGCAGAGATAGGTTCAGCTGGCGCAGCCGAATTGGATAACGGAAATTCAGTAGTTAATGATATTACAAGAGATTGTTCAATGGAAGAAAGAGTGGACGCATTGAGATATAACTCCCCAGGTGAGGTACGAACCTGATCAATGCAGCTCCCATTTCATACCGGGAAACAAGAGCTGCGGATTAGTTTTCTGATTCCTCTTCAACAATGATCGGCATTGCTTTGGGGGTTTCTTCAACTTCAGCAGCACGACCCTTCAATTCTCGGGCCTTTCGCTTATTGCAGTCAGCAATCTGATGCTTACCACCGCGGAAGAGACAAAGGTTGTCCTTCATCCTTCTTTCCCTTTCGGAGGGAAGGACTCTCCCATCTGCACTGAGATGGTTGAACGCGGGGCGCTGACTGCTGGATTGGCCGGAATTCGAAGAGTTCTGGGGCTTACCATTGTTGTTAGGTTTACCTCCAGAGAAAGGTTTCGGCTTCGTCATGAATGGCGCCGAAGAGCCAGATGGCTGAGAGTTGTTTTGCTGGTTAGTAGAACCAGCTTCGAAGTCCGAAGAACCCTTCTTTGGGTTCCGAGCAATAAAAGGCTTACCAGCCTCATGCTTCCAATAACGGTTGTCAATACAAAGAACCTCTTGATGATAATCAGCAAGTGTCACCGGTTCGGGCAAACGCGCCATTTCGTCCTTAATGTGTTCAGCCAAACCTCGTCCATAAGCCCATTTCAGGGCAGCAGAATCCCAGTTGGTGCTAGCAGCCAGGGTGTTGAACCGGATGTTGTATTTCCGGATGTTTTTGGTTTCCTTCATCTTCAGGTTACCGAGAGAATCTTTGGCCTCACCTTGGGCGTCGTAAACGCTGAAATTGTCCTGAAGCTCCTTTACAAGGGCTTTGAAGGAGGACATCCAGGCCAGCAGTGAGTCAAGATCCGGGTTGAGAATATCAGGGACAAACCATTCTTTGGCTGACCCACTGAGATAGGAAAGAGTATAATTCACCTTCCGTTGGTCAGTGAAGTACTTTGGATGGTCATTGAAGACCAGGGCGAGATTGACAAAGAACCTCTTCAGCTTTTGGGGGTCCAAACCATTGAATACCTCTGGCTCCTTGACTTTGCTCTTAGATTCAGAGCTGTCAGAGGGTCAGCCGAGGGCGGCGAGAATGGTACCAAGGGTTTCAATGGAACCCTTGAATCCTGAGAGAAGTTCCAACATAGCACCTTGCTTGTTGGGGATGTCAGGAGAAATTGGGGAACGGGGTCCACCAGGTCCACCAGGACCACTGGGGTCACCAGGCTCACCACGCAGTAAACCACCAGAGTTATCATCCAGATCGTCATTGTCATTGTCGGCACCCAGATCGTCGGGGTCGACAGGAGGGTCTTGATTGTCATGATTACCAGCGTCCAGATCGAAGTGAGGAGGCAGGTCACGAGGAGATTGTGAATTAGCATGACGTTGAGGTTGCTTTCCAGTACGACGAGCTATAGCTTGGAGGATTGGAGATTCAATCCGAGTAGTAGACCGGCCCCGAACCGGAGCAACCACGGGGGGTTGTCCATGGCAAGGGGTCAAAACTTGGACAGGTTGTCCATCAGCAGTATACAGGGTGCTGTACTCAAATTGTTGATCTTCTTCCATAGCTTCAGGAAGAGTTGACGTAGTAGGAACTGTAGCTGGACCAAAACCGTGACTACGGCAACGTGGTTGACCGATAGCAGAAATGGATTTGGAGAAAGGGGCAAATGATTAGGCTATGGTGAAGAAAGTATTTTCTTCGGAGTTAGCTCTAGATTGAGCTCGGGTTTCCGGAGGCATAAAAAATGATATGTCAGTATGACGTTAACAGATTGAGTTTAATTATACTGTTAAGATCATGTACACCATGTAACTGTGCCAGGGCCACAAGGTGTCTAAGGGCGGAAGGTCAAATGGGACAGTAGTGAAGTTATTGACAACACCGCCGTTACGCCGTTAGTCCCCGGAGATTGAGAGTATAGAAGAGAGGAGCCAGTCGCAGCCAAATTGGAGCAGCAGTATCGCCAGTGACGAGGAGCGAACCAAAGAATGTATAAGTCCTAAGGTTATAGTAGAGAGTACTTCAAGGTGATGAGCCTGAAGACTTAGAGGAGAATGTTAAGATCATGTACACCGTGTAACGAACAAAAGGGTATGTGTAGCGAGAAAGAACAATAAGAGTGAGATTACAATAAACGGTGGATCTTCGGAATACCGAGCGGCAGAATGGAGGCCCGAGGCATGGACTTGACACTATCTTTCTTTCTTTCTTTTGGTTCCACAGATCCGGCCTCGCTGCTCGCAATGATTCCAATTCCAATTCCTCTGATGGGATATGCATAACGTGTCTGGATAGAATCGTATATCACAATGGCCACAAAGAGCCTCATATTGGGGACATCACATTGGCTTAGAGGGTTTGTTTTTTTCAACAAACAACCCGAAACATCTGCGTTCCGGACATCCCATTCTTTTCTTATATTTCTCAATTTATTTTATTTTATTCTATTTATTCCGAGTCTTTGTGTGTTTTGCAGTGGACTTGGTTGGTTTGAGGTGGGCGGTCGTTCAATTGACTTAGAATGTCAGAGACCTGTATCGAGACCAAGCCGCAAGCTGGAGAATGTGAGTAAGTTACATCCGTCCATCCATCCACATTCCCCCCGTGTAAATTCCTGAGACTGATCATCATTTTTTTCCTGTTGTATATAGTGTGCCGAGATGAAGGTCAGAACCAATATTTTGAATCTAGTGAATTTTGATTTTGTGTTTTTTGTGTATTAATTTTTCCTGCTGTCTGGGACCAGTGATGTTTGGGAAGGAGGTGCTTCCGTTTTTTTTCCCTTGAAAATACAACCTTTTGGTCATTGCTTTATGGAATGAACGCAAAACCAAAGGCTAAGGCTGTTGCTTGTAAACTTTTGTTCCGTGATGATTTTGGTTGGAGATTTAGTACTAAGTAGCTGTTCCTGTTTGAGGATAGACACAGTATATCTCTACACGTACCTGTGTTTCATTGACCCTAACTTCAATTACTTCAGATGATTAACAGTGCTCACTAATCTGCAAAACATGGATGTTCTCGAGAGCACTGTCCAGCACTGAAAGCACCCCCAGCAGTTTATCAGTACTGCTGGGAGTACTTTCCCAGCTGGACAGTGCTGTCAGCTGCTTTTGAGCTCTTAGCTGAAAATACAGGTTTTATAGATGTACTCACTCCTTGGTTATCAGCATTCTCCAAGCAACTTCTTGAAACTTCTAAAAGGATCTTAGGACAGGGAACATCCACAAATGTTGAACAGAATACTACAGAATATAGCTGTTACATGAATGGAGACGAGCAGGTTCACTGAGGCATTGGCCCTTGAGAAACCTCTTCTTGAAATCTCCAAAAGAATACAAGGACAGGGAGCATCCATGCCGCACAGAATTTGACCAGCGTACAGAATTTGGTAACCATATTGAAGGGCATGGGCAGTTTCAATGTCACATTGTCCCTCAAGCAACCTCTTCTCAAGATTCTATGACATGAGCATCCACTGACTCTAGTCATGGTCCAAAACCTAGCTGGCATATTTAAGGAGATGATAATGTTCAATGAAGCATTATCCTTTGGGCAACCTCTGCTTAAAACCTCTCAAAGAATTCTATGGCTGGAACATCCACACAAAATCTGGCAATTATATTTATAAGTATAGGTAAATTGAATCAGAGTGAGGAAGTGGCAGTCACATTTATGGAGATGGGCAAGTTTGATGAGGCATTATCCCTTGTCCAGTGTCTCCATTAAACTTCCAACTAGGATTCCAACAGTTATATATAGGCATTCTTCAAGCATGAAATCTTCAACAAACTTTGTTTGGAAACTACAGTTTCAGGCAAAGACATTGGGGGATATAAAGAAGGAAGGTGATACTTTGGAACTTGAGCAAACTTTGCTGAAGGTCTTGGGAATTTTTTGGGCAAATTCCAAGCCATATGTCATGCCCTGACCGCAACCAGACCAGCACCAGCACCAGCCACATGTTCTCACATTCCTGACCTATCTTTGCACCTCCCCAAGACATCCCCGAGACATACACACCTCCTACCACCACTTCCCTGATATGACCCAAACGTCCTGACAACCATCCCGACGCACGTACGAGACCCTCCTACCACCAGCCCCATTAAGTACTAATCTCAATCACCTGTCTCATGTCCCCTAGACTCCCTGATGTTCCCTTGTTCACTTCCCGTACCTATTTAAGTAGCTCCGCAACATCCCCAAGCCCCAGCTTGGTATATTTTGAACACACACCCTTTACATAGCTCCAGTCCCTGACCCTTTGTACCTGCTAACTATACAGATTTCTCTTACTCTCTGTTTCTCTATCTCAATTTCTCTCTACTCTTGTCTACTGTCTCTACAATCATCTATACGATCCAATACACGCTTTTACTTCATGTCTAAGCAATCCGAGTGAGTCTCCGAGCTCCCTCGAACAATACTAAAGCTCCCCAATGCCTAACGCCTTGGTGAGCTAACCTCCCCAAAACCTCCTTGGTCGCGGTTTCCGTAGCTCCCTTCGAGCTCCAGCCTGCTCCTGGCATGCTACAACATAAACTCCTTATACCAAAACCTACCCTAAAACCTATTCTGACCCAGGTCTTACACCATAAACCACTGTCCAATTCCCCTGCCAGTAATTTGCCTCAGATTAGAAAAAAAAACAAGCTGGGGAAGTCCTTTTTGTTCAAACATATTCAGAGATCGCACTTTGGAGGATCTTAGAAGAAAATAGTGAAGCACACTCAATATTTTCTCTTTCCTAAAGCCATCTAACTTTGTACCCTAGTTTCCTTTCCATTTCTTTAGCTTTTGGATACACTAAGCACCTTTTCATCATTTTCTCTTTCAAAACTTGATAGAGGGTTGTGGAGCTCACTCAGGTGTTTCTTTTGATACTACACCTTTTCTTTAAGCTTTCACCCTTTCTCCAACTCCTTATGATCATTCTTCCATTGGATTATCCAAAAGCTTCTACTCCCACAGTTTCCCATCTTCATGTGCAAAGTGTACCATTGCAGCTGTGCTGCATGACATATACCCATCTGGTGCTAGGGAACTTGTTTAACCTTCATTTCTAAATCCCATTTATTCACTTTTGTGCTGTAGTATATATTAGCAAGGATCATCTGCAAAACATGTATTTTTGGCTAATCATCCGAGAGCAGCTGAGAGCGCTTCCCAGCAGCCAAAGCACCCAGAGCAAGTCGAGAATCTTGCTTTTGGTGCTTTTGGTGCTGGAGAAGCGCTCTCCAGCTAGTATCCTTGATCTGGGGAACATACAGGTTTTGCAGATGATACTGCTTGATAGGTATACTGTTTATACAGTATCACTGTCAGCAATGGTGTGTTTCTGGAGGAATTTACTATTGAAATTCATTCCTGCTTACTGCGAAACCAATACCGGATCAATATTTTTCCTCTTCTTGAGATCAACATGCTTTCACATTCAAACCTTTTTTGTCCAGCTTGCTACCACTGTTTCTTACTGACAATTACTTGCAAGTAACTTATTTATATTGAGGAAAGTAACTTTGCTGACATGGGCTATGTGTTTGTCAGTACAATTATTTAAACATGTCCATCAGACCGGTCCTTTGCAATCAACCATCCTCTCAAACTGCAGTCAGCCCTAGAACTTTGAACTCGGACTGGCGACCTTCCTCTGCCAGTAACTCAATGGGAGCAGAAGAAAGTACCTGAGAGTTTTCGAGGTTTCCTTCAAGTTGCGCAGTAGTACTGGGAGACTTGAATATACAAGAGATTTAGATGTGCAGAATTTAACACTGAATTAGAGTACCAGCATCAACATTAATACTCACTGTAATTGTGACCATTTCTGCAACCATAGTTGTCTGAATATCACGAAACCTCATCCGCGAGTTCAAGCTAATTGATTGAGCTTAAGAAAATAACACAGAGGTGTGGTATACATACTTTGCCAGCATTGCATTGGAAAAGACTATTGCATAAATGTGAATTTTTCCAAGCGAGGCTTTAGCTAGACAGGGATCTTACATTTGGAAGGATTGCATAGAATGCAAGCCATAGTATCCCCAAATTTAAGAAGAGATAATCATCAAGGCTAAAACTCACAGTTATTCACATCAATCAAAATCTATGAATCAAGATCAGATCAAAATTGAGGAATTTGAATTGGAAATAGTTTGATGCCCACACATATCATTAGGGAAATGCTGACTGCACTGTATTTGGGGGATTTTAATGTCAAATCTATATGGGGAGAAATAATTACATGCCTAGTGACAATTCCAGTCTCTGAAGATGAGTTTAGCAGTCAATATTTGGAATAGCATAACTATGAATATCACCTATAGCCCATTGAATTAATTTGTCAATCATGACTAGTGTGCTTTATTGAGGATATAGTTAAGTTCAAAATTTATCATTGATGTAATAGGAGTTCTCTCACCTGCGGTAGGTATTGGACCGGTTTTTGAGTAGATAGTATACAAGGGCTGTAGAGACAATGACATCTATAGAAACATGAAAGACTGTTGCAGTAACAATCAACCATTTGAACTGATATAAGAATTGTTCAATGTTCTTTTCAGCAATGACTGTGGCTGCAATTGTCAATCCTATGGAAGCCACCATCTGGCAAACCATGAGGATACTACAGATGATGGGAATGATGTATGGAGGACCCGCAAATTTAGTGATGCGGTGTGTGAAGAATCCTTGCGCTATTGACTATGAGATTAGAAAGCCACTGGCTATGGAAAACAGTAGTTACCCAGTGTTGCGATCAATCCATCATAAATTGGCACCGCGGCAACCTCAGGTAAGAAAACAAGGAAGACTGTGGGATCCCCATAACGAGATACAGTCGCACTGTAAAGTGTATAAAATTGGCAAATGGTATGACCCAGCTCAAACAACCTATATATCAACAATAAGCAAATTTATGACAAGGTAGTGTTTGAGCAATAAAGCTACATACCACATCCCATCAACCTGCAAACAGACCAAGTTTGAGCAAAACCATTTAGATTCTTCAGGAATATATTTACCAAGCCAAATTTGAGCCAGCTGGAATCTTTTGGGAAATTCTTGTGATAAATGTACACTTGCATTGTGAAGATCCCGAACAAGACTCCAGAAATTAAGACACCAATTTCGAGGAAGCCTATACCCACATCAAAGTTGGATCACACTTGGGTCAGTTTATAAAAACAGTCGACACACCCAAGGTAGAAACTACGTTAAAAATCATCCTGTTTGTGAAGGGGTTATCGTCAGGTCGGACAGGGCACAGAATTCGGTGTCCTTCATATGGGAAACTTGTTTGTCTGTGCTTGATAAACTGATACTGACTTTTGATATAGTAATTTAACCTAATCATGGAGCTGATGGATTGAAAGATCATCAACAAACCTTGATTTGAGGGATTCCGTTTTCCAGAGAGAGTACCAGATTTACCAGCAATGGCTGGAGATTGCGTGAAATAAAATTCTGTCTGAACGTAGGGGGCCACTGCTGCACCATCGAGCATTAAAAAGCATGGCTTTTTTGTGGTGTTATAAAAGATCCTCAGAAACATACCATGGGTTGCCTTTCAGGCACCAATGTTGAATGACATTTAGACCGCAGCAGAGGGCAAGATGCGAAGCATAATCTTGATAAATGCAAGAGACATCTCTTTGACACCATCTTATCGGACCTTCATTTCCCTCTTTTGGTCTTAATCATAGAGCACTCGGATAGTACTGCTGGTGTTGCCCAGGATCTTGGCTCAGAGATAACTGTCCTATGATTGGTTCCAAGAGCACCACTCCGGAGCCTTAGATAATTGATTCCGCCATCCAATAAGTTGCCCGCTGCCTATTGAATTGTGTTATTCTTGTGGTGTGTCTTCGCATCTGCAAAGCCTGGAAATTCGGCTAAGAGTCCGACAGTGCTTCACGGCACTGAAAGCATTGAACACAGCCTGGCAATAATTGCTTTTGGTGCTGTGAAGTATTGCCCAGCATCTGCAAAACCTGTATGTTCGCCAGAGCAAGGGTACTGGCTGGAGAGCGCTCTCCAGCATCGAAAGCACCAAAAGCAAGATTTTCAACTTGCTCTGGGTGCTTTGGCTGCTGGGAAGCGCTCTCAGCTGCTCTTGGATGGTAAGCTAAAAATACATGTTTTGCAGATGCAGGCAGTAATTACCCTTGCTGTCGCAATCATCCAGGTTTTGCAGATGTATTATGTACACCTGAGGTTATTGTGTGAACCGAAGAGGAGTGCAGATTGCACACAATCTTGATGAACTTTCTGTTGAACATGATGAAGATATTGATATTCCAATAGCTATCTTGTTCCTGTATTTGTCGTGGAGTTTGCCTTTGTTTTGCTCCTCGGAAGACTCATTGAATACTAATACTCGGAGTTTCTTACTCGATTTTGTTATCACGTTTGTAGTCCAATCGGTTTATTGCTTCTTATGATGTACCTGCTACCAGAATAGTTTACGATTATCATTTTCTTGTAATGATATTTCTTAGAGATTAGCTATTTACATGCGGATGGATCGGTACAGCGTATTACTGCTCAGGAGTATTATTTTGTTGGATGTGTATCTACTTGTGTAAGTATGGGTCTTAAGATGATTGATTATAAGGCTTCCAGGAGTACATTCTGAGTGTTAGATAGTGAATCCTCAGTTAGATGTAAAATAACTGTATTCAGGTACCTGTTAGATAGTGAATCCTATATACATCATGAGTATGGTATGTGAGGCTAGGTAGTGTGGGGCTCACCTCAGTTAGATGTAAAATAACTGAGGGAGCCCCGTCCGCCGTCTGCTGGTGTGGCTGATAAACTGTATAGTGTGTATGTAATCGGGCGGAAGCAAAATAAGTAGTCAAAGCTGAGGACTGTGCGTACGCTGGGCGGAGGTAGAATCTAACACCCCCCCTGCTCCGCACGATACAGTCCTAGTAGTCCGACCATCTTTGCATGGGTTGGCCCGCTCAGGGCTTTAGTGAATACATCGGCGACATTCATACCTGTCCGGATTTCTGAGACCTTCACTGCCCCGCTTGCCACCTTCTCCCTGATGTAGTGGTCTCGTAAGTCAATGTGTTTCACTAGAGCGTGTCGTTTGGAGTTCTCGGTCAGACTAATGGATCCGAAGTTGTCGCCTAGTAGTGTCACAGGTCCCTGCTGACTCAAGTCAGCTTCTGCGAGAAAAGATTGTAGCCAGACTGCTTGCTGGCAGGTCCGGGACAGTGCGATGTATTCAGCCTCCGTAGATGACAGCGCGGGTGTGGGTTGGCGCTTGGAGCTCCAGGAGACAGGCGCGCCAGCCATGAAGAAAACGTAGCCCGATGTGGACCTGCGGGTGTCCACAAGGTCAGAGTCAGAGTACCCTTTCGGTCTCAATCCCATGCCCGGCGTTTCTTCTTCACCTGCCCCCGGTGCTTCATAGGTAATGGCGTATTCGCAGGACCACAGGAGATACCCTGCCAGCCACTCGACACACTCCCAGTGTGTCCTGCCAGGGTGGATTTGGTATCTTGCTAGTAGTCCGGCAGCGAAAGAGATATCAGCTCAAGTACACGTCTGGCACCACAGGATTGATCCCACAAATTCACGGTATGGCTTGTCTGACATGAACTGCAGCTCGTCGTCGGGGAGCGGGGTGGGGGCTTCGCAGAGTTTGACGTTGGGAGGCAGGGGTGTATGGCGGCGCCGCACATGTAGGAGTTGGAAGTGTTCGAGCATGCGGAGGATGTAGGGTTTCTGGGAGATAGTGATGGATTTTGTTATCGGGTTCTGCTGGATGTTCATCCCCAGCAGGACGTGGGACAATACCTCGTTCAATTCCCAGCGTTTCGCTATGTCCTTCACTGCCCGTAGTCTCCCCTCCTCTGTAGATGATCCTCCGCAGATGTCGTCCCCGTACGTGCTAGTGAGGGTGTATTCGTCGCTGTCCCTTCGGTAGCGGATACATGGGTCAGCCCTGGACGTAACGTATCCGTCTTCTCTGTACCCAGCGGCAAGGGTCTCTTGCCAGTCATGGCTACCCTGCATGGTGCCGTATATCGACTTCCTCAGTTTACACACCTTGTCTTTGTCTCCTGGTTGGATGAACCCATCCGGCTGTCGCATGTACACTTCGTGGGAAATGGGTGAGTTGAGAAAAGCAGCTGTGAAGTCGACTTGGAAGAGGGAGAGTCGGAGGGTAGCTATGATGGCCAACACGATCCGTACTGACTCCATGCGCGCGACTGCCCCGTAGGTTTTGTCGTAGTCTTGTCCCTGGATCTGGGTATATCCCTGTGCGACCCAATGTGCTTTACGCTTCAGTACCTCCCCTCCTGGTCCCCACTTGATAGCGTATGTCCATCTCCCGCCAGTTAAGTTCGCATTCGGCGGTAGATGTACCAGCTCCCAACACCCCTTTGCGACCAGGGTTTCATACTCAGCCTTCATGGGTGGGAGCCAAATCTCTGGGGCCTTCATAGCCTGTTTGAAGGTAGACGGGACCCAGGTGTCGTTCGTGGCTGACGCGAATGCCCACGGATTGGCCACTATTAGCGCAAGTGTTTCGTTGGTCGGCGGGGAATCTGTTGCCCAGTCTTCTTTGTTGGTCTGAGCTTCGCGTTCTCGCTCTGCCAGAGCTTGGTTTTCGATAGCGACGCGCGATGGAGTGCGTACACGGGCACTTCTGCGTAGTGGTGGAGAGGGATCAGGAGTAGGACCGGTTGTCCGTGATTCCTCGTCTTCTTGATCCGCATGCTGTTCAGCTGTGGGTCCATTCGTGGGTGCTATTGGTTCTAGGCCACCTGCCGACTGGTTGTCTTCCAGGTCACCGTTGTCAGTTGCGGGCGCGCCTTCCCTGGAGCGATGAGCTTCTCCTTCCTCAAACCTAACGTCCCTTGACTCCAGGAAGGTCCGGCTAGGTTGGTGCCACAACCGGTACCCTCTTCTTCCCATATAGCCTATCAGCTGGCATTCAACTGCCTGGCGTGCCAGTTTCCCCTCGGTTCTGCTCTCAGGAAGTGTAGCCCATGTTCGACAGCCGAACGGTCGTAAATGCGATACATCTTGGCGTTTGTTTGACCAATATTCGGTGGGCACGCGGTCTGGGAATCGTGCTGTTGGCACGAAGTTGTCCACATAGGTGAACGTTGCCGCAGCCTCTGCCCAGAATGAACGGGGAAGGCCTGATTCTTCGAGGAAGGTACGTACTCCTTCAATGACCGTCCTATTACCTCTCTCAGCCATTCCGTTTGCAGAGGAGGAGTATGGGGTAATCCTTTCGATGGTGATCCCCCGTTCGGCGCAATAGGCTTCCAAGAGGTTATTGTCAAATTCGCCTCCACCGTCAACCCGTATGATTCTCATCCTCTTCCCCGTTTGGTTCTCAGCCATTACTCGGTACTTATGGAACTCCTTTAGTGATGTTTCCTTTCGCTTGTCCTTGAGAAATGCGGGGACTCGTACTGATGATGCTCCGTCAGAGAAGAGCATCATGTATCTTGCTCCGCCCATGCTTGGGGTGGTGGCTGGTCCCCATAGATCAATATGTACCCTCTCCAGTACCTCTGTCTCATGGGTGAGTCTTTCGTCGAATGGTCTACGCGTCGCCTTCCCGTACAAGCAGTCAATACACATTCCGGCTAGTGTTTTGGACTTAATCTGTAGTCCGTCCACGAGGCCCCGGCTCTCCATCCGTAGGATTCTTGGTACGGCTACATGTGCCAGGCGCCGGTGCCAGGTGTGTATGTCGACCGCCTTCTCGTGAGATCTTGCTGAGTTGGCCTGTGTCTGGTCTAGAGTTTCCACTTCGTACATCTTGGTCCTGCCTCTCCCCAGCATGACTACCTGTCCTTCCGGTGTTTTGACGCTCAATACCCCGTCACCCCACTCCCCTTTGAAGGTTCGCTGGTCGAGAGTTGATAGGGAGATCAAGTTGTGGCCAAATTCCGGGGTGTGTTTCACATTCGTGAGTCGGATTCGTCGCGTTACCTCCCCGACTCTCGTAGTAAACTCAACGGTTCCTGTCCCATGTATCTTGAACCTCCCTGCATCACCTGCTAGTGCACTGGTCCCGCTCTGCCCATGTACTTGGCTATATTCTACAAAATCTGATCTACTCACCCAGCAGTGTTCGGTCGCTCCGGAGTCGATGAAAGTTCGCGTGAACGATGTTTTCGCAGGTGCATAGAGGGATGTATTACTTTGGCGTGTTGTACATGCCAGTGGGCTTGGTGCTACATAGTGTGTAGGTATGTCCTCGCTCCCATTCACTTCCTTCATCCCCTGATGCTCCCACCCTCTCAGAAAGGTATGATCATGGCTATCAAGGGATCTGTTAGTTAGGGGTGTGCGTTGGTGGGGTGTACTGGTGGACAACGTACTGGCGCCATCTCTGGTTGCCTTAGCTGACAAGACATAGGTCTCCAGGGGTGTTGCAGTCGTGTTTGTCGTGTTGGCTGTAGCCGCTACGGCGTTTCCGGGGTTCTGGTTCCTATTCGGTTCATTGTTCTTGTTGAACCTCCATCCATTAGGTCCTTTACCCTCTGCACCCCCTCCCTTTGCCCAGCACTTTTGGATAGTGTGGCCGATTTTCTTGCAGTTCGGGTTTGCACACGTCGGCCTGTTCCTGTCTGGGGCCTGGGTGCTTGCTACGTGCATCGCAAGTAGTGCTTTTACTTTCTTCTCCTCTCGCTCTTCCTCCGTTCGCCTCTTTTCCCTTTGTAGCCAGATACCTTGGAGGTGGATGAATGCTTCGCTGCTCGTCTTTCCAGGGAGGTGCCTGATGTCCACGTCCCAGTCCTTCGGGAGTGACGCAAGAACGATTATGCGGAACTGGCCGTCTGTTATTACTGCCCCAGCGTTTGTAGCCCTCCTGAGTAGGTTTCGCATGGTCCTTTTGTGTTCCTCCATTGTCTCTTCGGGGTAGGCGTACCGGTGGGCTCGAAGGTTGCTATCGTGGAATAGTAGGAGCTCTTCTGATTTTTGTTCGAATTGGTTGACGAGTTCCTGCCAGATTGCAGATGCAATTTCGGTGTAGTCTACCCCTAGTCCTGTGGGGTCGATAATGTTCGAGACTATTGTGCTCGCTACATATCGGTCTCGGGCATACCATTCCTCGGGTGAAGGTGTCTGGCTGTACGGTGGTGTTGTTACAGTGGGAGTAGTTGTAGTTCCTTCTGGCGAAGTAACAGTTACTGCGGGTTTGCCATCACTGGGCTTGGCTATTGTTCCGTGTAGGTACCCTTGCAGTCCTTTCGATTCTACTGCAAGACTAACTTCCCTTTTGTAGGGCCACCAGTTATCCTCCCCTTCGAGGGCTATACCTGCGGGGAATCGTTGGACATTCGGCATGTTCGATGACGATGACATCGTGGGACTGGATGGTTCGGAGGCTTCGTGTGTATATGTGGTTGCTCTTTTAGAGCACCAGTCTCATAATCTGTTAGATAGTGAATCCTCAGTTAGATGTAAAATAACTGTATTCAGGTACCTGTTAGATAGTGAATCCTATATACATCATGAGTATGGTATGTGAGGCTAGGTAGTGTGGGGCTCACCTCAGTTAGATGTAAAATAACTGAGGGAGCCCCGTCCGCCGTCCGCTGGTGTGGCTGATAAACTGTATAGTGTGTATGTAATCGGGCGGAAGCAAAATAAGTAGTCAAAGCTGAGGACTGTGCGTACGCTGGGCGGAGGTAGAATCTAACACTGAGTACATTAGTAAAGTGGTGTATGTTTGCCAAAGCAAGGGTACTGGCTGGAGAGCACTCTCCAGCATCAAAAGCACCGAAAGTAAGATTTTCAACTTGCTCTGGGTACTTTGGCTGCTGGGAAGCACTCTCAGCTGCTCTCGGATGGTTAGCCAAAAATACATGTTTTGCAGATGTATTACAACACACATTACATCTTCCCCAATTACATACACACTACACATCCATGTGACCTGTAGCTATACCATCCCACATAGACCTATACCATGACCAGGATATGAGGAATGGAGGTGGACGATGACCAGACAACTGTCCGTCGCACCTTCCCGCGCCTTAGTACTATAGCCTTACTTACTTGCGGTTAATGAAGAGTTCAAAAAAAAAAGATATATTACAACCTGTGTCTCTCACGGGACAGAAACCCTCGCTCATCAATGTCCACCACCAAGTCAACGCTCGCTACACCTTCAAGTGATCTCCAAGACTATTACGACCATATTCCACCCACGTACAGAATATCAGAGACTACAACACCCAAAATCAACAAAATATTCCTTTGTCAGTCGTCGACCAAACTGATGCGGAATCATACTCTGATATACCTATTCAGACAAGACCGTATTTCGTGGACAGGAGAGGGGAGTATGCAGGGCATGTGGAGGAGAAGAGTCGAGATGGGAAGAGGAAGTAATGGGTGTGTGTGTTTTCACTCTTTTGGTTATTATTATTGATAGTGGTGGTTTTGTTTGTAGGTCCTCGGCGCACTCTCAACGCTCGTAATTGCTATCGTACTCGCTATAATCCTCGGTGTAGTTCTTTCCCGTGGGTCCTCTTTTTCCTCCTCCTCCTCAAGCTCATCGTCATCTGGAAACGACACGATTTCCGGAGACCCGAGTCAGTTCACGAAAGACGCAAGGCTGAAGCAGAGTTTTTGGGATAGCGTATACACTTGAGGGGACATTGTATCCGGATATTGTGGGGCAAAGCTATGTACGTGTTTTTGTAGACCAATGATACTAGAGTATTCATTTAGAGTATTCATTTATTGTTTGTCTCGTTCTAACGGATGTGGTAACGGATATGCAGCTGCTCTCCCAACTAACCACCCGAATCCGAGTATATGGAGCTGATTGTAACACAACCGCACTTGTGCTCTCTGCTATCGAATTAACCAAAACCAATCTGACCGTGTACATTGCCAACTTCCCCGAGGCAAACGATAACGGCGAATCCTACGACCTTCAAAAGACTACGATTCAGAGTCCTATCCAGACGTATGGGACGAGTCATATCGCGGGTGTTACGGTGGGGAATGAGTTTATATTGGAGTGGGTGACGAGTCCCTGTATTATCCTTGGTGATTACATACTGAACGTGTTATACGTGTTCGTCGTATAGTTATCTTGACGACAACGGCGGAACAGACCCCAACAGCGCCATTTGTGACGCTGGTGCGGAGCTTTTTCTTGGGTTCATCAACGACACAAAGACTATGCTCTCTGACCTAAATGTCGATCTCAAAATCGGAAACGCAGATGCTGGGTCGTATTTCAATGATCTTGTGTTGGAGAGTGTTTGATTATGGGATGGCCAACGTCCACCCACGGTTTGCAAACCAAAGCATCAACGACCCAGCTGGATGGACATGGAGTTTCTTCGAAGGTACCGGGCGCAGACTTTGGCGAATCAGCCGGATATGTCGATTGCGGAAACGGGGTGGCCGACGGTGGGTAATAACCTGCTAGAGATGGTTCTTGGCTTATGTGTGGCGTAGAACTCGACAAATGTGGGTGGGCCTTCAGTGGCATCTCCAGATCTTCAACACCTTCATCTGCCAAGCAAACGCCAATGGGACCGAATATTTCTTCTTCGACAACAAGCTGTGAACCTCTGTAGACCAGTGTAAACCCAACTGGAATTTAGCGCTACCCTAGTGTATCAGAAGGACAGATATAGTGAATGTACGAACCAGCGCATGATCACGGTTCCGACGGTGGCCGGACATCAAGGGAGGAGGGCCACAAATTAGCCGCATCAAAAGAAAAAAACACCCTCTTTACTTTACCTCAATCTCCCACTTCAATCCTCGTTGCTCAATCTACCTGCGCTGGTTCGGTATGTTCCCTTGGCTCCAATGTTTCCCCGATTTTTTCTTTCTACTTCTCGCTAACTGTTCTTTGACAGCTTTTGGTAGAATATCGCCGGTATATAACTACCACTAGTAGTGAGTCCCTCTTCAGAATACTTTCGGCCCTTCACAACCAATTGAACTTAATTGAGGACTAGAGTACCTTAGAACCAATAAAACAACAAATCCAATACTCACGTCTACTCACTTTTGGCGCTGGTTCAGTTTGTACTTGACCCCAAGCATCTGTTCTCCTTTCATTTATCTGATGATCTGACGACCAGTTTTCAATCGTCTTCCTATTGAATTTTCTGGCCAAATTCCCAACCTTTTGTATGTCGTGTCGTATCCTCTCGAAGTGAACCACTCACGCGTGCTTATAGTGTTCTGAAAGCATACTAACTGAAAAAAGGGCCCCACGTTCTTCTTTCTTCACTCCTTGACACAGTTCTGCTATCCCGCAGCGACCCCATATGCTTTTCCGAACCATCACTCCGATCTTGGTCCCTTTGCTCTGTTTTTGGACGAGCGGGGTGACAGCATCACCCTTGCCCACTGGTGACGGTTCTGCAGCTTCGCGATTCTTTGGACGCACTGAAAACTTAGGTATGTTAAACTTCTGTGCTGTTTATCCATGTACTGTATCCAAGGATTGTGTCAAGTCCATGCCGCGGGCCTCCATTCCGCCGCTCGGTACTCCGAAGATCTGCTCTTTATTGTAATCTCTCTCCTATTGTTCTTTCTCGCTACACATATCCTTTCGTTCTAGTCTCTCATTATTGTCTTTTACTCTTTCGTTCTAGTCTCTCCTTATTGTCTTTTACTCTACCCTGCAGGTACTACTCGTATAGCTCCTAGTAGTTAGTCTAGCGCTCCGCACCGATGCGCCGTTCCGTAGATATAAATACTGCCTGTACGCTACTGTAGTTCCTCAGTTTAATTATCGACTTAGATTCCCTCTTACACTCTGTGCTCTCTAAGTCTTTAGGCTCAACGCCTTGAAGTACTCTCTACGCTACCTTAGGACTAGACGTCCTCTGGCTCGCTCCTCGTTACCGGCGATACCGCCGCTCCGACTTGGCTGCTTCTCAGTTCCTCCCTTCTCTACTCTCGATCTCCGGGGACTAACGGCGTAACGGCGGTGTTGTTAATAACTTCACTACTGTCCCACTCGTCTTCCGCACTTAGACACCTTGTGGCTTTGGCACGGTTACACGGTGTACATGATCTTAACAGTATAATTAAACTCAATCCGTTAACGTCGTACTGACATATCATTTTTTATGCCTCCGAAAACTCGAGCTCAATCTAGAGCTAACTCCGAAGAAAATACTTTCTTCACTACAGCCCAATCATTTGCCCCATTCTCCGACTCTATCTCTGCAATTGGTCAACCACGTCGCCGTAATCGCGGTTTCGGTCCAGCTACAGTCCCTACTACGTCGACTCTTCCTGAAGCCATGGAAGAGGAACAACAATTCGAATACAGTACCTTGTCCACTGGTGACGGACAACCTGTCCAAGTCCTGACCCCTCGTCGTGGACAACCCCCCGTGGTCGCTCCGGCTCGGGGCCGGTCTATTACTCGAATTGATTCTCCAATTCTCCAAGCCATCGCCCGCCGTACGGTAACGAGCTTGCCTCGTTTTTGTGTGAAAGAGAAAGGAAGGAATCTAATGGGCACTCCAACCAACCAATCTAATACACAATATGCAAGTTCACTGCTATCAAATTTATTTAATAGCAAGGGGTAGCGTTGGCAAAGGTTCCGCAAAGCTTTGAGAGCTAAGCACGAAGCTTTGATCAATCAATTTGAATCGTTCTAAGGGTTCGATATATTCCTTTGATCAAGGTAGATTCAGCACGATTTGTGCTTTGGTTTGTATTGATTTGGGTATATCAAGAATTGGGGGTTTGAATCAAAGTAAATTAAAACCGAAACACACAGACCCCTACGGAGGGCTAGAACTATGTGCTGGCACAACCACACAGCGTGATTTGCCCTTAAGACCAACGACTGATCCTAAGTTCGAAGAATACCCAACAACTGGATATACTTCTCGCAGTCACAAGGAGCAGAACACGATGTTCCTATACTCACAAGTGCCGGGCCCGAATGGCTGCTAGCGAAGAGGTTTCAGTCTGGCGGGAGTGTGTCTTTCCTTTTTACGGATTAGCACTGCAACGTCGTCCCAAAATCACTTGTATTCCAGATACATCGGATCGCTATTTATACATACAGAATATAGAGTCACATAGTACAATTAATTTAATACAATAAACGTTCGGAACCGCAAGGAAACTTCTACACTCAGTCAGATACCATTTAATTTGAATCTACATGTCCTTATTTGGTCCATATTGGTTCCAAGATTCTAGTATACCTCCAAACATAGGTAGGTACTTCAATATTCATTTAATTTAATTGTTTTTAGAGAATGACTCGAATGGTGTTCAACTGTCATTGCGGTTCAACACTTACTTCGATCGTTTGTCATTTCGTCTGGAGGCAAATCAGCTCTCCTCGATTCTAATCCTATCAATCTGATTCATTTGGATTAAACTAATTGCTTCTCTCTTTCAACAGACACCCATTGTGCCTATACTCTATCAAGGGAGTTACGCATAGTATTCATTTAATTGCATTCTTCAATGTTTTCTACGTCAGGACTCTTTGACATTCATTTGATATGTCTTCGGAGCCTCGCAGTCTTTCGATCGTTCTTCTAGTCATTTTCCTCAACCATGCAACTTGATTGGTCTATTAGACTAAATCGCAGTCCTTTAGATTAATGCATGATCTTGTTCTAGAAGGAGTATTTGGTAATTCCTGAGTTCTAGAAAGTCATTTCGAGTCAATCCTCGGTTCATGGTCACTTGAGTAAGTTCTTCCAAACTCCTGCCAGTGTAAGGTCCAATAAGAATACCCTTGGTATGTCATACGTGAATGGTCATCCTTCGGATGTAGTCCGAGTCTGGTATAATCCTGCTTGACAAACAGGTAGACTGCTATCCGTAGGTAGTATCGGGGATGGGTAAACTGACCAACTTGTGGTAGTATGGGTATATGGTCCCTTCAACTTGTTAGACTGATTCAGTATTGACTTTGACTGTCAATCTGGGTCTCAATTACAGTCCTCTTGATACAAATCTATACGTGAAAATGTCACAATTCACAGCATAGACGTCTAGCCAAAATTTAGGCGTGTCATCCCCCCCAAACTAAAGAATTTGACCGTCCTCGGTCATTCGTAGTTTTGTATCGGGAAAGGATACCCAATCTGTTATTAGATTGATTCGACAAGACTATATCTCCTTTTAATGTAAATCACTGGGTTTGGATCTCTACTTCTCCGTGCTCTCCAATCAATTTGGATGCCCTCAAATGGGTTTCTAGCGCTCATCTTATCAATTTATTCACACGCCTGCTACGAATCGTAACAGTTTAGCGCTCAAATTGAATTGAATACTTTTTCGGTATTTGTATCACATTTCGAAATTTTTAATTCACAATCTCTTCATCATCTAGTCACAGAACGAGCTTCCATTTCACGGAGAACTGCTCTGACGTACGCACTGATCCAGTGTGTACGTTTATTTGGTTCGGGGCACGGGGTTCAATGAAATTTTTCGTTGAAGTCCGTTTTCCCTCTTTATTCCTTCTTTCATCTCGTTCTTATCAAAATGGCTTCAACCTCGAGTCCAACTCGATCTTCGGCCACAACCACGCTACTTCCTGCCTCACTCGCAGAAGCTCAGAAATTAATAGCTGGTCTCAAATTAAAATCATCGCAACCTCTTTTCTTTGAGAGCGATTCGTTTCAACGCCTTTCGGAGGGAGATTATTCTCCTCCCATCCTTGATTCACAGAATTCGCCTGACCACGATAGTTCTAGACCTTTCCCTGCTTTCTCATATCCTTCTGCCTTGGTTCCATTCTGCTTCCCTCCCGGCTCTTCGCGACAGTTATCAGTTGCTTCTGGACTGGATCTGTTTTGTTCTGCCAGCATGATTACTCAGATCTTACATCCTTTGCTTGAAGCGTCTGATTCTTTGGATTCGGGAGAAGCTTTTAATGCTTTTGAAGAGGCAGCACCTTTTTTAGTACGCCTCCTTTGTTTTTCTTCTTCCCTTAATCCTTCTTATTCGGATTAATTCATCTAGATTTATGTTCATGATTTTTGGATTGGGCGCGCCAACTGTCCTTTGTTTGCGGAGCATGTACTCCGGACGGCTGACGGACTATTTCAACGTCTCCCTGCCTTCCTTCGCGACAGTCTTGAGCAACAATGGGGTATTCCCTTTAATCACCAGTCGTCCTTTTTGGTGCGTTCGTCTCATTTATTAATTTGTTCTTTCTCATTCTTGATTATAGGGTCCTTCCGATTTCAAACAGTTCCCTGTTATCCCTATCCCTTTTTGTCTTCGATTTCGAGAAGGCAGTGCAATGATGCGTCTTGCCTCTTCCAAGGATTTAGATCCATTCGTCTCACTTCGTTCTTCAATGACGGAGACACGTTCACTTCCTGGAGGCCCTCGGATACCTTCACCCGTAGAGGATTCCTTTGAGTCTTCTGAAGAGAACCAGTCGGTGGCCCCTCCCAAACGCAACAAGCGTAAACGTGAATTGACCAGCCTTATGGCTGATGCTTCCACCATTCGTTCGTACTTCACATCGTCATACTTTTCAATTAATTCAATTTCCTTTTTCTCCTTTTCAGTAGACCGACGTTCCAATGTTAAATCGCCTCTTAAAGA